CTTTAAATGACTAACTCACCTGCAGAGTCTGTAGGGCCTAAATCTCTAATCAAATTTTTGTCTCCTTGCAGGATTGGTCGGATTTTGGGTCGCCCTCTTCCTGGATCGTTGACATGTTCAGGTTCTCCGAGTCAAACCACAGTAGGTCACTCCTTATATTCTACCCAGAAATTAACGTCACTTTTTGACCCAAACCTCTTCTTGAGAGTCTCACAACACTTAAATACAAGAGCTCGCCTTTGCCGTTAGCGTTTGATCCGATAAAAGCCACTCAGTCCCTGTCAGCGCTGCTTTATTAGCAGCCATTGTCTCCTCACTGTCAGCGCCGTGTTTGGTGTTCCCTTCCCTCCGGTACACTTAAGCCCACTAATCCTAGCGAGGGCCAGCTGGCTTGATGGGTCGCCTTCACCTGTAAGGCCGGCTTGTGCCGATTCGTGAGCGATGGTTCAGAAGCAGCACTTCCTGTACGGACAGCTGAGGTGTGGAGAGCCCTCCTTCAGCTATGCTTCCTCCTCCAGGTTTCATCTGACCTCATCAGTCTGGATCACGGACGGTTTTTCTTCTTGCTGCTAGACCGTGTCAGTCATCATGTTGGGACTCTAATGGTCCGTGGCGTGTTGTGCTCCTGTAGGCATCCATCATACCTGAGACCAACTTGTGTTCCACTAAAAGATCAGAGAAGCGAATCTATGGTGAACTGTGGTGAAAGTTTCATGTACATTCCTGGTTAATGTCTGAGTCTAAATTACACGTGAAACAAAACTTGACCAAATTCTTAAAAGACTAAAGAATTTTTACTGCTTTAGTCTCAGAAGCAGCTACAAGGGTTCTTTGGTTTCTGGCTGCTTTTTCTACATTTCAGTGAATTTAAAAAAGATCTATTTGTCTTTTTGTAGAAAAATTGATGAGAGACCAGCAGTGGCGGATTTAGCAATTTGGGGGCCCAAGGCGATCACAGACATGGGGCCCCTTACACAAAATTTTCGACAATCTTGTCTTTAATTTGATTTTGGAAACTCTCCCCTCCTCTGACATGAGTTATTTTCACTTTTAATTGTTCCTCCTCTTTTTTCCTGTCTTTGTCTCCCTTTGAGTGCTTTCTTCTTCCTGTCAGTGCTCCTGTGCTTTTGCCTTTTTGTTTTTCTCCTATTTTCCATTTTGGTCTATGTTTTCCTCCCTTTAAACATTTTCCATTGTCTTTCCTTTTCTGCTTCCTTTTGATGTTTACAAAGAAAAATGACATCACTTTCAGAAGTGAAGATAAAAGCTTTTTTAAAGAAAGCTGCTTCTTTCTCTTATTGGAGCCACTAGGATAACTCCATTTCGTGCCTCATGTTTAGACTACCGCTTCAAGTTTGTTACAAACACTCCCGCCTCTCTTCTTCTTCTTCTTCTTCTTCTTCTTCTTCTTCTTCTTCTTTTTCTTCTTCTTCTTCTTCTTCTTCTTCTTCTTCTTCTTCTTCTTCTTCTTCTTCTTCTTCTTCTTCTTCTTTGTGGTCTTATGGCACTTGGCAAACAACAATTTGGTGCATTACTGCCACCAACTGGATTGGAGTGGAATGACTACCAATCACTTCCTGTTTGGGCATTAAATTCAAATTCGAAGATACTTTATTAATCCCAGAGGGACATTAGAGTTTCAGTACACACAATTCAGAGATCAGACATACATGGGCAAGACACATGACAAGAATCGATGACTGTGGTCATTCGCGACCCTGAGTCGCGCTACCTTAATAGAGATAAGAGGGTAACAAGAGGAACTGATGTGGGAGGAGGGAAAAAACGCACTTCACAGCTACTCTCCCACCAGGAGGGCAGCTTTGCTCTGCAAAAAACACCTCAGAAAGATAAGCAACAGACTTTAGACAACCCAACATAGATACTCCAATAGGAAGGCGGGGGTGGGGTGGGGTGGGGGTGTGGGGTGGGGGTGGCTGGGATCCTGTTTCCCCAGCGAGAGCAGCCATGTATGGCGCTCAGCCACTGTAGCCACAGGTGGGAGGGAGATCTCGGGAGAAGTGCAGAGCACATTGACTCCTGCAGGTTGGTGACCTCGCCAGGCTGAAGTCCACCAATCCGAAGGCGGGCGGGGGGTGGGGTGGGGGGGTGGGTGGGGAGGTTCACAGCATCTGTCTGCATTCCTTCGTGGGGGTTTGTTGTTAGCATCTCGAGGCTGCTCTGGCATCAGATTCGGATAACAAGACTTTGTTTGGGTCAGGCAGAGATAATTTTCTTCTCTGCCTTCAGTCTTTAAACTGATCATTCCAGTCCTTCAGTGAAGCCAATTTAGGTTTCTAAACTTGTCCATACCGTCCGGTGACCCTCTCCGAGATGACATCCATTTTGCGCACTAATACCGGTATCGCAGCTAGAACATTGTCCAGCTTACGATTCACCTCGAGTAACGTCCCAGTCTGTAAGGTCTCCACACGGGCGTTGCTTTCCATGGGTGTGGGTCGCCCTCCAATTGCTCCCGTCTTCCCAAATTTCCAGAGAACCAGATATCCTCCCACTCCAATCAGAAGAAATCCAGTGATCATCACGAAAAACATCCACACGTCTTCGACATCCTCAATGGACAGCTGGGAGAGGCATGTTATCTTCCATTCCCTCCAGGAATCCAGCATATATCCCACCGGGCGTGTCCACTGCGGGCATGTGGGAGCCCCCTGCTCCGTTCTCATTGTTGAAAAAAACCTTATTGATTGCATTGAATGACCAAATTATCAAATCCATAGTTAAAAATAGGGTTTTTCAGAAGCAATGCAGAGAAGCGCTCTGTGGGCAGACAGGACAAAGAGCCTTGGGGAACAAAGATAAGGGAGCAAAAAGAGAAGCGTCTGTACTCTGCGAGTGCCAGGCATCGGTATCTTAAAGGAATAGTCCATTGTGGCATTAAGGGGGGTGCCAGCAGTTAGGGCTAGGGGGGTCCCCAACATAAGGGGGCCGCAGGCGGCCACCGACCTATGCCTAATGGTAAAATCGCCACTGGAGACCAGTACTAGTAGGGGTGTAGCAGTACGCCTTGTGGCTTGGTATTGGCCCAGTTCACACGACAGGACTTTTCAATTGTTGGACGATTTTCAAAACATGAGAGGCACCACACGTGGCGATACAAAAACACAGATTTAACATTTTTGGTCTTACAGTGTGTTGCATGGAGCCACACTGGGAATGAGGGCTGAAAAATGACCGGTTGAGCATGGAAAAAACCAGGCTACCCAGATGTGAACCATACATGGACAGGACCGGGCCGGCCCAGAAACTAGATCTGTTCCTCTGTATATTTAGCATAATAAAATCTAACAAGCCCAAATATGCCATCTGCATAATTCAATTCAGTTTATTTCAACAGCGCAACGTCACAGCAGCAGTCTTCTCAAGGCACTTCACTAAGTAACATTTCAATTCAACCTACTTAGTGCATTGAGTTCATTATGCCGACGGATTAAACATTCTATATATAAGGAACCCAGGTTGCATCGAGTCACTGACTAGTGTCAGAGTCTTTACAGCAATCCTCATACTAAGCAAGCATGCAGCGACAGTGGAGAGGAAAACTCCCTTTTAACAGGAAGAAACCTCCAGCGGATCCTGGCACAGTATAAGCAGCCATCCACCACGACTCACTGGGGATGGAGAAGACAGAGCAGACACACACACACACCCAACATTTATATTTAATCAGACATGGCAGAGGAAGAGCATGCCACGTGCATCTACTACCTCGTTTCTGATTGGCTACACGTCACATTCAACAGCCTTGAAAATCAAAGATAATTCAACATGTTGAATATTTCTGATTTATGATCAGAGCGGTACCAGCGCCGTTCTGAGCTGACCAGAGAGCGCTTAATACACCACACACGATGGAAATATCTGATAAGATTGTTTTTAGAGCCGTTACGGTAATCAAACACATCTTTAAGATTGTCAGAAGGTGAGAATCAGGTCAAATATCAGCAAAATGATAACAAGGTATTAGCAACATGTCTGGTTAAACGTCGATAGTCTAAACCCACTGGTCAAGCTGACAATTAGTGATTTTCAACCACAGTTTAAAACAGAACTTTTATCGACCTTTGCACATTCCTGGATTTGCTGCCCTGTTTCAAAAAGAGACGTCACCCGGAGGATCCCGGTGACAGATTTTAAAGGGCCGACCTCTTAGAGGCCAACGGCACGGTCACCCTCAGCGTGGGAAGGGAGGGGGGTCATCGACAGGGCGTGGAGAAGTCAGGACAAAGGTCACACAGTCTCTAAGAGATGCCCAGTGTGTGGCTGCTGGTCTTTGTGCTGATAGGTGAGACTCTGTCACCCTGGAGGTGTGGGCTCAATAAAGCCTGGAAGTAACGGAGGGAGTGTCCTGGCTGTGACTCTCAGACTCAGATCAGTCAAAGTAGCCAGACACGAGAGGTCTTCCTTCCCATCAGAAGCTTTTCTTTACACGTCTAATCTGGATAAATAACAGATCTGTCAAAGACAACTCGCACAGATTAACTCCTAATGATATGACATGATTTATGGTTTTTCTAAAGCACAACTCTTTTTGTGTCAACACTTTTTTCATAACTGCCGGATATTTTTGGATTATTGGTGAAGTAAAAATAATTACCGTCATTTCAAACTTTTTTCATTGAAACTAACTAGCTATCAAGTGAGGTAGGTGGCTGTAGTTCAACCCCATTTTACAGATTTAGTTATTGTTAATCTATTTTATTTTCTAAAAACCGTCCCTTTACCAGAGGAGCGTGAGTTTGGTCCGCATAGCCGGTAGTAAGTCGGACCTGTTCCCGGTGAGGGTTGGACTCCGCCAGGGCTGCCCTTTGTCACCGGTTCTGTTCATTACCTTTATGGACAGAATTTCTAGGCGCAGCCGTGGTGTGGAGTGTGTCGATTATGGTGGAAGGAGAATCTCGTCTCTGCTTTTTGTGGATGATGTGGTCCTCCTAGCTTCATCCAGCTCTGACCTTCAGCTCTTGCTGGGTAGGTTCGCGGCCGAGTGTGAAGCGGCTGGGATGAGGATCAGCACCTCCAAATCTGAGACCATGGTTCTCGACCGGGAAAGGGTGGCTTGCCAACTCCGGGTCGGGGGAGAGGTCCTACCTCAAGTGGAGGAGTTTAAGTATCTCGGGGTC